TTCCCGATCTCAACCGACAAAGCAACGAGCCCGTGGTGCAATGGTAGAGTATTCAACTTAATGAACAAAGGTCCCGGGCTCGAATCCGTGGGTTCCAACCCTTGAGATTGGGTATGACTGGCCGATAACGACTAATAAGCCAAAAATGGCTAGTCCGGTCTCCCTTGTTTTTGTTGGTTCCGCTCCATCCTATCCTACTAGTCGCTGAGCGACTGTCTGTGAGGGCTCTAAAGTGAGCTTTAGGGCAAGACCTGAAAGTACATATTCCACGGCCAGATCGACGAGTATGAAAAATATTTAAGTTTAGTTGTGTTGGACAGTCTTTAAAAAGTCTTATTTGGATGGGATGATGTAAAATGAAAAGGTACGAAATCTACGGAGATGCGCGAAAACCAAAAAATGGTGTCGTCATCCCTTTTTTATTTAAATTTACTACCCAGTCCTCAAGGTAATGCCTAACCTCAAACGTTGGCAATTTCGGAAGCACAGATGCCCCTTGCATTCCCATAATCTACTGAAAACAGGTGGCTAATGTGTAAGCATTTATTTTAGGTTTTAAGGGCTGTGTTCTCTTGGTGGCCCCATTCCAAATAAAAAAATTGGCAAAAGAAACAACCTCCATGTAACAATTCCCGTTATTGTGGGGCACCAGACAGTGTTGGAAGTTTTCTAGACACACTGTGAAAATTGATTTGACCTGAATTAAACCTTATTAAGTACAGGTTATGCTAATTTAGCGAAGTTTCTTCCTGGCTGGCGAAAAAAGAGCCCAAGTCACTATGGGCCACAATTTTACTTTCTTATCAAAGTGATGCCATACCATCTACACTGCTGGAAGTTTCCTACAAAATAAAAGGGATGTTAGCCCTCATCAGTCATGCTATGCTCAAAGCACTAAATTACTCCAATTTGTCAGATTATTTGAGGCATCACGGTAACGAACATACCAGAAAATATCCTGTTAGACCTTCAAACTTATGACAGTAAATTACTCCTCGGTAGAAATACCTCAACTACTGAAAGATTATAATCGAGGGGTTCCATCCATTAGAACATTTTAGTGGTAGAATTTCTCTTTACACAACGAAGTACGCAGCCTGCTATAAGAAAACAAGTCAAAATTCAAGTAAAAGTCCACTGCAGAATTAACGACATACTGCTGCAAGCGCGCGCGGGTGACCCCGATTGGGCCTCCTTCATGCTCTCTTAGAACTTCATTCAACATAATGAGAAATGGACAGACAGTTCGACCATCGGTTACCATTATGTCCACCGTATACTCCATAACAGGGACGGTGACTAGTGCGTGAATTAGTCTTAAGTGGCAGTAGACTTGCGCTGCATCTACCGCACTCGCTCTCTTCCCTCACCCCGCCTCGCATTTGCCCCGGAACAAGATACTGTGAAGAAGACCGGAGGCGGCATCGGGCGCAGGCGGCTGGCGCGACCGAAACTGCACCTACGCGTGTCACCACGCGCAACTACAATAACGCCTGCCGTTCCCTGATCTGGTGCCAACGTTGGTCCAGCGCATCTACCATGCGGCCCATGCGGAGAGCAAGTGAGAAATAGAGCCCAACTGTATCAGGTATACTCCACCACATATACTGCATCATAGTATACTACTCGTGATTTGCGAGTAGCCATGTTTTTCTGTCATATTTCGTTACTACCTGACTACCCAACAACTCTGGTG